CCCCCCCGCCGGCGGGGGGGGGGGGGGGGGAACGGCACAGCCCCCCATCAGCAAAACCCCTTTGTGTAGCGGGGAAGCCCCCCCCCCCCAACACACATACTCACGTCTAAAGGGAGGCAATAGTGCTCAAATCACACAGGTAGCAGAGGTCCTTTATGAATGAGCTGCTTTGTTTAATCTGCACAGTCCCCATGCCATTCCATCATCCCCCCAACCTTGACTGAATGTCCCATAATGCCGAGCAGCAGATCAGACTCCTGGGGACCCGCGTCGGCCAATGGCACAGCCGCTCCCTCTCTGCCCTGCGTCTCACCCCCCCATCTCAGATACACCCACCCGGCACCCCACCCTGGGGTCACGCCGGTCGCAACACAAAACAGCGTCGGTCGAAGGAAATTAACATTGTTCCAGAGTCTCATTTAGGAACCCGTGACCAAACCTCAATGCCCCCCCCCTCCCTGGGACATGTATTTATTTAAATGTTAAGAAAGAAAAGGAAAACGTAATGTCTGTTCTGTGTCGGACTGCCCCATGTGGCTCTCTTAAATCAAACACCCGGCAGTGGGGAGTTTCAGGTTTTATGTGACTCGTAAATCAGATATTAAAAGAATGATGAATAAATGAGCACTGAGCTGAGGCTGGAAGAGGGCAGGCAAACCTGCCATTACAGACACAGCTATAAAACGCAGAGATCTGCTGGCCTCGGTTCATCTGGGGGGCAGGAGAACAACACAGGCCCCTGGCCTCTTGGCACGCCGCCCCCTTTGGCACAGAGCGTAACTGCACTGCGACACAGACTATCGTACCCCTCTGTTGGCCGACCTCACCTGCAGCTAGGGCCTCTGTCAGCAGGCTCTAAGGCAGTGTGGGAAAACAGAAGACGACGCGGGTACTAGAAAATATACTAATTAGTGGCTAGTAAAGGCCAGACTACTTGCTGGGGGGGGTCTATATCTGACCTAGTTAATCATAATTGACTAATGGGCACAGATGACTTCTCAACATGTCCTGACGATGAGATAAGATTATGAGAAAGAGCTGGGCTCTATCTAAGATGCTGCCCATCTGCTAGAAGGCTGAAGCAGGGGTCGCGAAGGAGAACCTACCATGCGGAAGTGCTGTGGAGACCGGGGGCAGCTGCAGAACCGGGAGGCCCACATTGCCGCCATCGGTATCGGGCATGTGAAGCTGGCCGTAAGCGCTGGGTGGAAGGTGCCCGGCTGGGGTGGGCAGGCTCAGCACGGAGGGCAGGCCGTTCTGCTGGGCCAGCGGCTGCACCGGTTCCAGCTTAATCTCCGAGCTGCTCACACATCCGGGGAAAGCGGAGTAGGCCTGGGTGAAGCCCGCAGCCATCCCGCTCAGCGCCTTTTCCTGGCCGGAGTGCAGCGACGCCTCCCCGTCTATGGAAGTCCGTAGAGGGTTGAAGGCCAGGGTCTGGGCGCCCAGGTTGAGGCCGTTGAACAGGACGCCGCCAGGGGCCTGGATGTAGGAACCACCATTGTGGAAGACGGCGGCAGGGTTGCTGGTCACCAGGCTCCCATTGAAAACCATGGCTCCGCCGGTGCTGGGGGGCACTTTAACGTTCCCGACCTGCTGGATGACTAGGCCGCCATCCAGGGCAGCACCCATAGGGATGGTGCCAAGAGCCAAGGCCCCTTCCGGGGAGCTGGAGAGCGGGCGAGGGGACAGGTCGTCCTGGCCCTTGCTGGACTCATCTTCTGTGCTGTGATTGCCATCAGATTCACTAGAAAGAGAGAATAAATGAAGGGTGAGGCTTTACCTTAACTGCACCTTCATAATGCATTCATAGAACATTCATAAGCAGCGTGTAAGAATACCTAAGCATCCTGGCACACATTAACAGCTTTAATATACATTAATAGCAAACATTATATGATAACAACAAACATTATAATACTACAATGTTTGTTATTAATGTATATGAAAGCTGCTGAAGTATGTTAGGGTGCTACGATATACTTCCAAGCTGCTTCTGAATGTTCTGTGAATGAATACGTTATGAAGGTGCACTGAATGTTCTACGAATGTGTTATAAGGGCATCACAAAAGTGCAGTTAATGTAAAGTGTTTCCAAATAAAGAGTAGTGGGATTAAGGACAAAAAGGAAGCAGTCTCAATTTGCACAAACCCCTCTTAAATAAAAGTATTCAAAATGGTAGGTAACCACGACGACACAGAAAAGTATCATGTGCAGTGATGCTGCATGTCTACACCGATGGGCAGCACATCACTGACTAGCGTTTTAACTGATTTTGTATTTTCTTTAATTAATCATGAATTCTATATTTGTGTTTAACGTCTATGCAAGTACTCAGTATTCAGTTACCAATTCTGAGCTGTACCTGTGGCTCGTAAAATGTGTGAATTGTTTAAAGATTCCGAAGCAGCTGGAGAAACACCGAACATCCCATTCAAGCCAAGCTTAGAAATAACAGAACTCAAACACAGTCATACGAGGCCAGAAGTGGCAGGATAATTTAAAACACCATAGCCACCATAGTTATCTATAGTGAAACACCTCACAGCAGGGTAACCAGCTGCCAATTTTTATATATTATATATATATAAATGAATGGTGTGGAAAAGATCCGTCTGCTATATATATATGCTATATATTATATATACACATAGCCTACAGTATATATAAAAATAAAAAGTCGACTTCGCTAGAAATGACTAGACGGGAAACTGTAAAAGAAAAAAAAAAGTTGAGAAAACATCAGGCCACCCCCCCCCCCCCCCCCCAATCATCTCGTAAATCGTCGTTAAACCAAATTTAAACTGTAAGAAATGCTACCACCCCGGTAGGAGATCCCGGCAAAAGGATGCATTTGGTGAGCAGTAACGTGCTGAGTCAAAAGGCTCTTCCGACAACACTTCGCCTTTTAGGGGTGGTGAAACCCGTTTACCCCATGGTGAGCGGGCTGGATTATAACCCTCATAGCTGTCAAAATTAATCCGTTCCAGACCGCTGCCGACCAGGAAGCCTGCGACCATCCGCGCCACCATTTGGCATAATAAAGTACCCAGTGACAAATGCCCCCACGGCTTCGGCACAAATGGCCGGGGTATTTGTGGCCCTGTCTTCCGTCAGGAAGTCGGGGGATCACCGCCAATTCCATCAATTTTCTGTAAATCCACATGGCAAAATATGACCAAATAAAGTTATCCAGTGGAATTACTCACATTTGCAATTATATATAGTTAAAATTTATTTCGACAATAAGGTAGGCTATAATATTAAAATACAACGACGAAATCTCAGAGGATTTAAATTAAGCAGACGGATCTTTTCCACACCATAAATTTTGTCGATGAGTTTAACAGCTGAAGGTCCGTCAGAAGAACCAACGCAATGGCGTTGAACAAAAAAAGGTGCTAGACTGGGCAGATATACAGGTGGGGTGCGATCGTCTTGCTCTTTTACTCCTGAGAAGCGCTGCGAGTTTTAGCCACTGACGCTTTTAAATTAAACAGAAGAACAATTCTAAGCTGCTTTGATTCCCCTTTCTCTTTTCTTACACGGGACGTTCAGTTTATTACAAAAACGTCCTTCAGAATCAGGATGCCTTTGAGCAGTTAATGACATCAGCCTATGGGGGAGGGGGACTGTCTGTCTGCTGAAGAGGTCACCTCCACCAGGTGCGTGCGAGTGTTATTTTCAGAGAATGGGGAAAAAAAGACGGGGAGAGACAGAGAGAATGTCCCTTTGCAAAGAGGGCCCGCAAATCTTTTAATGAACTACTGAAGGGTGGTTTTCCGATCCCTCCCAGTTAAGAGGAAAAGTAAACAGCCTAAGTGATTTATGTGGTGAGCCAAAGCAGGGTATTCAATGGATTCTAAACACACTCCCAAAGTAAACACACATACACACACACACGGTAAGACAATAGGTCGTGGAAATGTTAATATCGCTTGAGCAGCTTACCCTTAAAGTTGTAAAAATAAATAGTAGCCTATATACTTCAGGTCAGTTGAAATGGGGACAAATGGGTATTCTACTGGTGACAAATTCAAATAGGCCTAAAATGACAAAAATAAAACTAAATATTTAAACGCAATTTCGCCATCAGTTTAGACTAGCTATAAAAGTTCATTATAGTTATTATTGCAGTTAATATTTTGTGTGTTATAACTCCGGTACAGCTTTTGTACATGTGTTCAAATTACAAATGAAACTTGACCTGAATGGGGACAGCTTCATATTTCAAAACATTAGCGCCGAGCACCCGGCACACTATTCCTTTGAGTTTAGCTCTGTAAATGATTAACGACGTCAATTCATAAAGCAGCACTTATCATGCCGGCCGCTAAAGGCGAACTGGCCGGGCAAGAAGCAGCTCCAGGTGAAACACACGCGCAGTATCGCAGACGAAATCCCGTAGACTGTATAAAAATTTACTGTTAAACCAATACATGGAATTATTAATTTTGGCATTTTAAAACACTTTTGGTTATCATTGCAAAAATAAACGCTAAACACAAAGTGACATACCGTGAGCGAATAACTCACCTTTTTGACTGCGCTTCAGAAGGATTCCTGTCCCTCTGTCTGCGATTTTTAAACCAGTTGCTAACCTGAGTCAGGGAAAGCCCTGTGATTTTGGCGAGATTGCGCTTCTCGGCAGGAGAGGGGTACCTATTCTGCTTGTATAATTCTTTCAGTGCGTTCCTGGACCGTTCTTTAAAACAGTACACCGTCTCTTCCCCGTCCCAGATAGTTCGAGGCAGCGGGTATTTCCTACGAAGGCGATATTTGTCCACTGCACCGAGGGGTCTCCCTCGAGCCTTCTCCGCCTCAGTGTACCGTGCCTTGTACCAAAGGTCCTGCAGCGAAGAGTGATTGGACGGGCTGAAGCTGTGGTTCTCTAGAATACTATACAGTTCCTGATACCGAGCCTGATGGAAAGCCACCAGAGCTTGTGCTTTTAAAATGCTTTCGTTGCCACGTAGCAAGTCACTCTGTGGTAAAGACCATAAAAACCTGGATAGGCGATCCACGTTGCCCCCCTGCTGCAGCGCTTCACAGACGCACGCCACTTGCTCCGGTGAAAAGGCTAGTGAGGAGGGAGCGCTCACGAGAAGTTCACTATGGACTGCATCTGCAGCTGAAGTCGCATGCTCCATAGACAACTCCGCAGTGTCCAAGGCTAGGAGCTTAATGCTTCCCCGTTTATCTGCCGTAAGATTTTCCTTTTTTATTTCATTTGTAATTATGACCTCGCTGGAGGAAGAAGACATTTTTTAATGCTTCCTGGTAAGTCACTCCTCCTGGTTTCGGCAGTCTTTAGCCGATCAGGTTTCTGCTTGCCATACAAGCGCGATCAGATATCTGGCGACAGCTGTGAACGGATAGGTCTTTCTTCTCCCCTGGTTGTAATGTGAATTTTACTCGGCAAACTGTAGCAGGAAGGGGGCAATAGGGTCTGCTTGCAGGAGTGCAGTCTTATTGGCCACAGAAGGCTCTGCGGGGGAGGAGCGAGCGAGATCTTAGGCAAATGTTTTCACTCAGACTGTCAGTCAAATACTCCGCACAATGGTTTACCTGCGCAAGGTGAACTAGCTGGGGGTAGAGAGCCGACGTCTTTGTCTGCAGCGTTGCGCGCTGTTATTGCTGCGCTGCGTAAGCAGTAATCCTTCGCCTTTCATATACCATAACAGAAAAAAATCATTGACCCTAACCACAAATATAACAAACAAATCGAACGAACTATTCGAAAAATCTCATTCGTATTTTCAAATGAGACACACCACAAAATAATACACGAGATAAAACATAATGACTATGGCAATTATTTGTTTCTGCATTATTATACTTTAGTTTAACTATAGCAGCATATATAATATTTATGTCATATAGTAATAATGATATTATTTATATCGTACTTGACACGTGCTTTTGCATGTTGCAATTATTTCCCAGATCAAGTGTTGCAAAAAACTGAATTGTTGGATAAAACGTGTAAGAGTGAGGTCAGCAGAATGAATTGCGCTGGGAAACTTTTTGAGCAATGTTAACTGCTCGGGCACTTTCCCATTGATTATGGGCAACAAATTTCTATTTGAAAAACTTTAATCGGAAGTGAGCAACATTTCGCGATCATCCAGATCCAAATGAGTTGCCCTTTGTCTCACCTGTTTGGCAGCTGCCCGGAAACATAGCTCGAAAAGTTGTCCTGTCTACCAACACCTTTAGTCATAAACTTATTCGGACGTGTATCCAGCTATATAAAATAAAGTGATACTTTTTTAAACAAAGGATGCCGGTTGTGTAGACCCTTCGGATGAAAGCGTCTATAAAACCGTGATAAAACTATAAGAAAGCATATGTATGAATGTATACGTGTCTAGGATTCTGTGCCATCTATGTCATACGGCAGCCTGTATTAACTAGGCTATGTTGTATACTATTTACGTAACGACAGGAAAAAACGTCTTTATATAGTGACATATTTGTGATAAACAAAACTGGGTCGTTTAAATGAAAATGCACCGCACTTTGTTACTCGTGCCAGTTCGTGAATTTATTGTTTACAATTAGACGTTGAGAAACGCTGCATATGATAAATGCACACTGTGCGAAGTCATAGGAACGAAAAACTAGGAACGATTCTTCCTTCCGTGTTTGTTGCACGGAATTTTTATGAGGAGAAACCGTTATTCGAGTCTCATTGGCGATTTGCTAATAGACGTATAGCGAAAATATTAAGTGTACCGAGGGATAAAATATATGGTTGCTGCAAATATGGATGACCAGGGGTGTCCGCGATGCAAGACAACTAAATACAGGAACCCATCACTGAAACTGATGGTGAACGTCTGCGGTCACACGCTGTAAGTGTGTGTAAGCTTTTAATGTAACGTTCCCTGATATAGCTAAGTTTTATGTAGCAGCGATTTCAGTAGTTACAATATGTTTTACTCGGATCTTTCTCGCGTTTTCATCACTTATTGTAAACAAATATCTCGTCTCCAGTTCAGTCGTATATGTGGTTGGTACTAATAATGTAGTGCTTGCAAGTCTCCTTAGCTTGCTACATGCGTGTCATAAAATTGTCACCAGTCCGTAAACTCACTAAAACATTATCTTAATATGCATATAAGGAATATATCCAAAGTAGTGTTGAAACATTAGTCACCTGCAATGTTCAGTGGGTAGTGAAAATTTAGCGGATTGTAGCACAAAGCTGATTGTCTTTATGTGCACTTCTCTTCATACTTGAACCATATGTAAGTTTTACTAGTTGCATTTAACGCTGGGCGTATGTTGTTGGTGGGAGACGACATGTCGATCCAGAGTTTTTGTATAATGCGTAAGCAGGAGCATTCAACGCGAGCTGCGTGACTTACCTTCTAAGATAACGTAAATATAACAATGCCCCCCCCATCCCCCCATAAAAAACTCGGGCCACTGTCTCCTCTGGTAATTAAGTCGCCATGTTTTGGGCCGTTATAGGTTTATATAATTCTGCAGTTTTCATACTAACCCACGCGGTAAATGTCTTTCTCCCGGAATTATTCAGCTAGCCCTTATATTCATTTCTATGCCCTCTGGATGTCCTTGTTGATATGTGCCTTTCCACTATTACCTGACTGTCTGTATCCTCTCTTTGTGATCTACCTGTCTGCTATGCTATGCCATCAACATTGTTCTGTCTGAATCTGCATCTGCTGAGCTGACAACTGACGAGTCCTCTGAAGCTCTTCCAGTTTAGGGTGTGGTGTGGGATGGCTGACATCTAAAATTAAACGGACTGTGCCCTTGCTGTAACTGCCCCTCTTTGTCTGTTACCTCCGCACAATGACATGCCCAGATGTCCTTTTGGCATTTTGGGCCGTAATGGCAGCGGGTGCACTTAACTGGTACTGATTGTATCATATTCTTAACCCAGAGTTACGTTGTGGCTGGGGTTTGAGGTGCCAAATTACACAACACAGAGTTTTGAGAGTTATTTGGAAGTAGTTCACGTTGTTGCCCTTTCTGTGTTCAGGCTCCTGTTGCTCATGCACTCTGATCTCAAGCAATAACTAGTGTGCATTCCCTCCTGTCTTTATGCTGGTTTCTGTTGCGAGTTTCTGTGTTCGTGCGCGGGTTTGCGCATATGTGCGCATGTTAGTGTGCATGCGTGTGTTTTCCTGTGTGGGTATGGAGGGTGGTGTCCAGCCTGCAGGGGCTATGGTGTGCTGAGCTCGGCCACAGTATCTTTATCACCTTGCTGACAGCTGCAGATGAGAAGATTAGAGCTGGCCAACCGGGGATGGAGACCAGGCCCAACCTAGAGATAAGCTGCTCACCTGTGGGAACGGAGAACAGCCCAAGGGGGCATTTTAGCTTCAGGATACTGATAGGCAGTGTGAGGGATACAGTGAGTGCTGAATAATATCCTCCAGGTACTTTGGGGCTTTTGAAGGTGCGAGGCACTGTACAGTGGGGGAGGTACTTTATACACACACACACAGACACACACACACACACACACACACACACACAATGCTCCTGAGGTAGACTGTATAGTAGGAGGGCTGATTAAGCGCTGCTGTGCATCTACCCCGTGACTAATGTTTCCCTCACAGGCCCCCGTTTGTTCATTTGCTCTCCTCTTGTGACATGCGTACTGCCTCTGGAGAAACAGAGAGAGGTGGGACACATCACACCATGTAAGATAATGCTAGGCATATGCCCCGTGCTGTCCACTTCAATTGGCTCTTTGTGGGCCCTTTGGGGACATTTCAGGGGGTTCCATATGTTGGGCCCGGTGGACCCTCCTGAAGCCTGGGGCTAGAGTGGAACATCTGCCCCACTGCTTCAGCACAAAGGAGCCTTGCTTCCATCAGCCAGCCCCTGCCCATGCTTCACTTGCCAGAGGGGAATGAGGGTGGGCCCGTCTCAATACCCCCTCGTGTGTGTGAACAGGTGCCTGTGTACTGGTCCATTCCAGTTTGCGATTTGCTGAGGAGGAATGAAGGTCATCCCTCCTATTGTCTCAATTCATCTCAGCTTCAGTGTCTTTATTGCAGTCTAATTCAACCATGTAAAGCTGATGTAGTTACTTAGTGTCAACTTTTGATTTAACATTTTACAGAGTAGGTTCCCACGCCTGTATGTCGGAGTGGCAGGGCATATGAGTTGATGCTCAACTTTTGGAGCATAGGAGTAACTAGATTAGTAAATTGTTAATTTTCTTCATTTCCTGTTACTCTTCATGTGAGGGAGATAAATGCTGTTTGTACTCTCTTTAAAGTTCACCATAGGATTTAAAGTGATTGATGTTTAACGCAAAGGTGTGTTGAGTTGCCCTGGGGATGGTCGTTTGAGCGCTTTGGCTCTCTGCGTTTTTAGTGGCTTTGCATTGGTGGGTGACAGTAATTAGTGCTAAGCATTGTTACCACTGTCCATCAGTCAGAACCTCCTCCCCACTAATGACAGCTGTAGGAGACAGACAGCGTTGTCTAATTGTCTCTATGGTGATCTCCTTCAAACCCCATAAATCCATAGTGCTTGTTTGTTTCCTCCAATACATGTGGTGGATCATCCAAGTCCCTGAAACAGTATTGAAAGTTATTGACATCCGTTATTTTGGTTTAATCTGTAACTTTTTGGTAATAACTTCATTTATGAGTTGACATTGCTTTCATCAGAAAATGCTTCACCTTAAGTACTGATTATTCTTCTAAAAACTACATGTTAAATTGGTATACTTTATATTGCGCTTCTGAAGAGTGACAATTGTGCCATCATTGATTTATGCTAGCCTGTATTACTGAAAGGGCTTACCTTGAGTATTCCATAAATGCTATAAGGTGAGTCTTCCTGTTCCTCCTCTATAGGTCTGTTTCGGAGGTTGGTTCTGGAAGCATGGCACCTCTAAAAGCATCTCCAGTGTCCATGTGATTGATGAGGGCTTAAATAATATAGCTGAAAAGTAAGAATGAGACCTTACTGACAACTACATTGTCAGTAAGGTGATAGCCTTATAATTGTTTGTGCTTCAATAAGTGTTTCAATACGTATGTGGTAGTTTGTGTATGTCCCCGATGAACATTGGTATGCATTTTTAAAAGTGTGTTTTCCTGTTAAACAGGTGTGAAAGCTGTGTGGATATGCTCTTTGTGCGTGGTTCGGGGAACTGCGTGCAGTGCGACACACCCCTTAGGAAAAGTAACTTCCGTGTGCAACTCTTCGAGGACCCAGCCGTGGACAAGGAGGTGGAAATCCGAAAAAAAGTACTGAAGATGTGAGTTTCGGGGGGGGGAAAGGGGGTTCAGGGCTGGGTGGGACTGCATCTCTCGCCTGTTAAGCTGCCTTTGTCTCGGTAATGAGGGTGTGTGTTTTGTATACAAACTCCTCCCTCAGTGGCCCCCCAGGTGTGGCAGAGCCCTGCAGACTGTAAACAGCAGCGG